TCCAAAGAATAATGCACTTCTCCTAACTACTGTACATTGGAGGAGATGGAGCTAAACATCAAATACTGAATTATAGGTGATTTTAAATACGTCACACTCCAACATGTCAACACAAACTTTTTTTAGAAACCATCTTTCAGACTGGATGTACGTTTAATATGCAGTGTTTTGCAGAAATATTCACATACATACACTCTCACACATGCATTTCCTTTTCCAAATTTTGTTGTGTTACATTATGGAACTGAAATGGATTTCATTGGCAATGTTACCACTTAATATACAAAAAATGCTCAGTACTATGAATGTGCAAAAAGTTTTTGCTGTGGCGCAGAAGTTGCAAAGACAAAAATAAACTGGTACTCAATGGTTGCAAAAATGTTCCTCTCCTTTGCTATGGCATGCCTAAGCAAGCTGTGGCACAACATTCTCCCTCCAGAAGTCAGGCATGTAGTCAGATTGAGGTAATTTATATGCATTTCCAGCACCACACACTCAGATTAAACACACTTATTTCTGGAAGTCCCAATTTTTTTAAAAAAAAACACACACACATCTAAGCACTAAGAATAGCAAAGAGCTGTTAGAAGAAGACTAGGAAAAAGATGAGTAGAAGCAAAAATGAGGTTTGATTCTTTTAAAAATATCCAAAACTTTAAACATCCCCCAGAACACCACTGCTGTAAAGTGGAAAGAGTATGAACTAAATGTTACTTTGTCTTGAGAAAACCATCCACCAAAACTCAGTGAAAGGGTAAAGACACGGGAAAAGCGACCAAAAGACTAACAGTAATTCTGAAGGTGCTAGAGAGATCCACAGCTGAGATGGAAGAATTATCAACGAGTTGCTCCGCATAATGCTGACCTTTATGGAAGCAGAGCAATAAGAAACCCATTGCTGAAATAAGCCAATATCAATATTCATTTGGTATACAAGATATCTGTAAAGATGAAATTAACCAATTACTTCCTCCCCCTTTCCCATCTTTTCCCTACCACTACTTTTTTGAGTATGAATTTTATTTTTAATTTGGAAACATTTAATAAAAATTATTCAACTGGAATTTGCTAAAAGGCAAATGGCAGCCATAACAAACAACTAGTCAAATTTTTCAATGATTTTGTAAGATTATAAGATCTTATAATCGGCTTTTGCTGCAAAATGCTATATGTGGCATTAAGCCAATGGTGCTCATTGCCCTGAAAATTCCATGATGAAACATGTTGTTGTTCATTCATTCAGTCGTTTCCGACTCTTCGTGACCTCATGGACCAGCCCACACCAGAGCTCCCTGTCGGCCATCACCTCCCCCAGCTCCTTCAGAGTCAAGCCAGTCACTTCAAGGATGCCTTCCATCCATCTTCCCTTGGTCGGCCCCTCTTCCTTTTTCCTTCCATTTTCCCCAGCATAATTGTCTTCTCTAAGCTTTCCTGTCTCCTCATGATGTAGCCAAAGTACTTCAACTTTGTCTCTAATATCCTTCCTTCCAATGAGCAGTCGGGCTTTATTTCCTGAAGTATGGACTGGTTGGATCTTCTCGCAGTCCAAGGCACTCACAGAACTTTCCTCCAACACCACAGTTCAAAAGCATCTATCTTCCTTCGCTCAGCCTTCCCTAAGATCCAGCTCTCACATCCGTAGGTGACTACGGGGAATGCTATTGCTTTAACTATGCGAATCTTCATTGCCAGTGTGATTTCTCTACTCTTCACTATTTTATCGAAATTGGACATTACTCTCCTCCCAAGAAGTAAGCGTCTCCTGATTTCCTGGCTGCAGTCTACGTCTGCAGTAATCTTTGCACCTAGAAATACAAACTCTGTCACGGCCTCCATGTTTTTCTCCCTCTATTTTCCAGTTGTCAATCATTCTTGTTGCCATAATCTTGGTTTTTTTTATGTTTAACTGCAACCCAGCTGTTTTGCTTTCTTCTTTCACCTTGATTAGAAGGCTCCTCAGCTCCTCCTCACTTTCGACCATCAAAGTGATGTCATCTGCACATCTAAGGTTGTTAATGTTTCTTCCAGCAATTTTCACCCCAGCCTTGCATTTGTCAAGCCCTTGCACATCTCATGATGTGTTCTGCATACAAGTTGAATAGGTTGGGTGAGAGTATACAACCCTGCCATATGCCTTTTCCAATCTTGAACCAGTCTGTTGTTCCATGGTCAGTTCTTACTGTTGCTACTTGGTCCTTATAGAGATTCCTCAGGAGAGAGACAAGGTGATTTGGTATGCCCATACCACCAAGAACTTGCCACAATTTATTATGATCCACACAGTCAAAGGCTTTAGAATAGTCAATGAAACAGAAATAGATGTTTTTCTGGAACTCCCTGCCTTTCTCCATTATCCAGCGGATATTGGCAACTTGGTCTCTCATTCCTCTGCCTTTTCTAAACCCAGCTTGAACATCTGGCAACTCTCACTCCATGAGAGTCTTCCTTGCAGTATCTTGAGCATTACCTTACTGGCATGAGAAATAAGGGCCACTGTACGGAAGTTTGAGCAGTCTTTAGCATTTCCCTTTTTTGGTATGGGGATATACGTTGATTTTTTCCAGTCTGGTGGCCATTCTTGTGTTTTCCATATTTGCTGGCATATGGCATGCATCACCTCGACAGCATCATCTTTCAAGATTTTGAACAGTTCAGCTGGGATCCCATTGTCTCCTGCTGCCTTGTTGTTAGCAATGCTTCTTAATGCCCATTCAATTTTACTCCTCAGGATGTCTGGTTCTAATTCATTCACCACACCTTCAAAACTATCCTCAATATTATTATCCTTCCTATACAGATCTTCTGTATAGTCTCGCCACCTTCTCTTGATCTTTTCAGCTTCTGTTAGGTCCCTGCCATCTTTGTTTCTTATCATGCCAATTTTTGCCTGAAATTTACCTCCAATGTTTCTAATTTTCTGGAAGAGGTCTCTTGTCCTTCCTATTCTGTTGCTTCTTCCACTTCCATGCATTGCTTGTTTAAAAATAGTTCCTTATTTCTTCTGGCTAACCTCTGGAATTGCGCATTTAACTGGGCATATCTCTTCCTATCACTGTTTCCTTTTGCTTTCCTCCTTTCTTGGACTACTTCCAGTGTCTCACCAGACAATCATTTTGCCTTCTTTGTTTTCTTTTTCTTTGGGACGTACATTGTTGCTGCCTCCTGAACAACACCGTGGACTTCTGTCCATAGTTCTTCTGGAATTATATTTACTAAATCTAGTCCTTTAAATCTGTTCTTCACTTCCACTGCATATTTGTTAGGAATGTTAGTGAGATCATATCTAACTGGTCTGTGTGTTTTCCCTGATCTCTTTAGTTTTATTCTAAATTGAGCAATAAGAAGTTCGTGATCTGAACTGCAGTCAGCCCCAGGTCTTGTTTTCACTGACTGGATGGATGTCCGCCACCTTTGACTGCAAAGGATGTAGTCAATTTGATTTCGGTGTTGGCCATCTGGTGAAGTCCATGTATAAAGCCGTCTTTTAGGTTGTTGGAAGAGAGTGTTTGTTATACACAGCGAGTTTTCCTGACAAAATTCTATCATCCTGCATCCCGCTCCATTTTGTTGTCCCAGACCATGCTTGCCTGTGATCCCAGTTGTCATTTGACTTCCCACCTTGGCATTCCAGTCTCCTGTAATGAAATAATGTCTCTTTTTGGTGTATTATCCAGTAGGTCCTGCAGATCCTCATAGAACTGATCTACTTCTGCTTCTTCAGCAGCCGTGGTTGGGGCGTATATTTGGATCACTGTAATGTTGAAAGGCTTTCCTTGCACTCGATGATGAAATATACTGGTGACAAAAAAAACCATACTGTATAACAATTTTTCTTCAGTAGGGACTTGGTAATTGGTTTGGATTAAAGAGAAATAGGCAGAGCTGAATGTGGACCAATTCTACTAGATAACCTGTTTCAGACAAGAAGTGTTCTGACTCAGGGTTTCACTTTCCAGCAGGGCAATGACTCTTCACACAGAGTGAAAATAACATTGGTGTGGTTTAAAAACAAGACCTCAGCACTATTAAGAATTTCTGTAAAAACACAAAAACGGCTGTACACAGCAGCAGTCCCTATCCAATATGATAGCAGTGGAGCAATTTGGCCAAGAAGAATGGGCAAATCTTGCAGGATACAAATGCACAAAGCTGACAGATAATGGCCCAAAACTTTCAGCTGTAATTGCTGCCAAAGGTGCTCAGGGAGATGAGGATTTATGCAACTACGTGCCAGTTTGCTTTTATTTACTTAATGTTTGCACCTCAATAAAATATATTCCACCTTCATAAAGATAAGGGTCTTTTGTGCAACAAGTGTTCATCAAGTGAGAACAATGCCAATGAAATACATTTCAATTCTAGGTTCTAGCACATCCAAATGTGGAAAAGTCAAAGTGAACTTTGGGCTTTCTCTGCCTCTTTCTCAGCGAATTCTGCTTTCTTCCTCCTGCTTCTCTTTCCTAATAGTGAGAATAATAATAATAATAATAATAATAATAATAATAATAATAATTTATTTCTAGACCACCCTCTTTCCCTGGAAAGAGTCAGGGTGATCTAAAATGGCAGCCCTTTTGGCTTGGCTTTGCTTGCTTGTGCTGAACATGAAACTGATTTTGGGACGCTTCTGTGGTTTACAAAATTCAAACAAAAAAGTATTGGGTAAGTTTCAAATCTTACGTTTTTGGCACAGGCCATGCCCATGTGTTAGATATCGTATTGTAAGTACAAATTTAACAGATTTTATCTGACTTAAATAACTAACAAAAATGCACATCCCTAATACATACCTTTGGCATAGACAGGGTTTTTATTTTTATTTTTATTTTTTTTAAAAGCAGGACCTGTCCTATTTATTTCATATTTTATTTTATCTTTAATTACATTTTCCACCAATATCCCTGGGTATATATTGGCCAAATTTCTAGTGATATCTAGAATAAATTGTATTTGCAATTATTTTTGTCAGGATAAATAATTTCTATTTTTCCTCCACTTACCTTCAGTTACTTGAATGCCATCATAAATGGTATTGCTCTTAGTTGCAGAGTCTTGGATTGTGTGGGATCCAGACACTCCAGGAACCACTCCAGTCAATAACACTTCCACTCTTTCTTCTAATCTACTACGGGCTTGGCAACTTACAACAGCTAGGAAAAATATTTTGAAATATTATTTCTTGGTTTAACTAACTCAATTGAAATGATTTTCAGAAAGATTAGAAGAAATCCATGTCTTCTAATCTGTCTTAGACAGTTGCTAAATATTTTGGTATTATTATGAGACAACACATTCTCAATGGCAGTGATGCTGCTGCTTTGATCAATATCTGACAAAATCTGTTTTCATTTTCCCCCCATCTGGATTAGAATATGTTGCTGTTTCAACAGGGATTACAATCTCCTGCTGTAATGGTCTCTCCATGTTGTGGGAATCCCATTCGGGGTCTTTCTGTAACTTCAAGAAGAAGCCCAGTTAGGCATCAGCAGGCTTGCTTCACATCCAAGCAGACAGTGAGGGGTGTTGGGATAATGTTGGGATAATTTATTGAAATTTGCTAAAATACACCACTCTCCCACTGTACTAAGGCTTGCATGAAGTTGGTGATCTGAATATTTCTCATCTTTGTGAAATACCCTGTAGAGCACAGGCATGGTAGGACTACTTCCATATCCAAATGCATTATAATTACACACAGATAAAAATATTATCAGATAATCATTAAAAAGATAAATAAAAATACCACATGGAACTTATATTTTTTATGTTTTCCCCATTGCTCTATTAAAAGTTACTTGTTAATGCACAAGAAGTTTCCATAAATTTACATGAGAAGTTATATACTTGATTAATCTGTATTACTAACAGAATAGGTGCCAAATTCTATGCTTATATTAGAAAAGGAAATATTTGGAATACCATCTCCAAGTTGAAATAAATTGGGACTAAGGAGTATGGATCAACTACAAGATTGGTTTGGGCTTTGATTTGGAAAATAGCAAACAGGCTACTTCAGTTGGAATTTGGAAAATAGCAAACAGGCTACTTCAGCTGCTACAACTCAAGTCTAAATCTGAATTTTTATTCAGAAACCCAGATCTTTGTATCTTCTATTGAACATGGTCAAGAAATCAATATAAGACTCCAATTTATTAAAGGCAATTGTGTAAGAATAACATAAAGAATAGTGAGGCACTCAGATAAGAATGCTATACAATTTCAGAGAGATAAGTGTAGTATTTACTGCAAGTGTTTGGGGAGAGTATTGTGTGCTTCCCAGTGTATATCCAGCATATGTACATTTAAAGACTCTCCAGGTAAAAAAAAAACACTCTGCATAATTTCAAAAAGATGAGTAAAGTAGTTAGGTAGCTATGATTTACAAATTTCACACCAGCAAGAGTAAACCTACTGAATCAATGAGAACATGATAATTCAGCACTTATATACAATCAATCAATTTAATAGGTTTACTCATGCTGTGTCTAACAAATGCAGAAAATGCAATAAGATACGTGTGGAAGATGTGTTGTGGCAGAGACAGAAGCACAGATAAAAATCTATTTATTTATTTTCATTGTAGTCTCTCTGTTCACTTTACCTGGTGTAGATTTATAGGGTGGTGCTTCAGGGATTCCATGAATTGGATAGATCCAGCGGAAACCCAAGATTTCTTCATCCTTGGTTATTACAGTTTTGCTGAGAGATATAAGTAATAGTTACATTAATATGATAATTCTGGAACATTCATGGAATCTATATTGATCTAAGAGCAGTGAAGGTGAAATGGAAGGTGATGTGTCAATCCAATGAGATGATGCTCTCTCAGTCCAGCTGAACTGCAGTAAATTTGGGAAGGATGTGAGTGGTTGCTTCTGGGATCGGTCCAGAGCATTTCTGCTCCAGATTTGCCCTGGATTTACCAGGTAGTGTAGATATGGTCTGAGAGAACAAAGTTGGTACCACAAGCTTTTGTAGAGTAAGGATGCATTTATACTGTAGGATTAATGCAGCTTGACACTACTTTAAATGTCGTGCTCAATGCTGTGGAATCATAGGAGTTGTAGTTTGGTGAGGAACAAATACTCATTGGCAAAGAAAACTAAAGACCTTGTAATACTATAACTCCCATGATTCCATATCATTGAGCCATGGCAGTTTAAAAGGTGTCAAACTACATTCACTATACAGTGTGGATGAACCTAAGCTTTTTGGTTCCCACAGTTAATCTCTAAGATGCAACAAGATCTATTTGAATACAGAATATCTTTGGACAGGTCAGAAAATTCTGTACACAAGTCTCATATTCTAAAGTAATATAGCTATGCCTATCAATTCTACTTCTAAAAACATTCTGTGCCCACTAAAATAAAAGAAAGGCAGCATATGAATCAATATTTAAATACTGTATATTGAGTATGGCAACATCACTAAGATGGGGTGGGCACTAAGATGGGGTGGGCACTGGGTTTTTTAATCTTTAAAAAATCTTCCCAATTTTTCACTTTAATCAGAAAGAAATACTTTTTCAAAACTCTTTTAAACTCCCAGGAACTACAAGCTTTGTAGTGACTCAATCATCACAAGCAACTAAATAGCAGTATGACATACGGATTCAAACTTTAATGATGACAGAGACCCAGAGTATGTTGCTGATGCTCTTCTCATATTCTAAGAGAGACATTTGCAAAGTCACTTCCAGTTCTCGCTTCAGTTTCTCAGCAAAATATTAGTAGTTTTTTTGCCAAAGCACACGGATATGTTATTTAAAATGTTATTTCAGAAACAAAACCATTCAGGGCAGCACTTTGCAGGATTTGAGGGTGATTTCCACTCACCTAGAATTATAATTTGAGTGGTATATAGCTATACCAAAACTTCAGCCAAAATGAGATTGTAGCATCTTTTCCCTTCCTCTGCTTATACCAAAAAGTCTAAAATCGTGAACTCAAACAATACAATAATTTTCACTTCAAATAAATATATGTGCAGTGTTTACAATAATTACCTGTTTAATATTTTGCTTATTTCAATGGCATCATCATAAAACCATGTTCCGCCATCTGTTTTCACAACTTTAACAACAAGCACAGCTTCATACAGTTTCATGGCATAAGGTGCAAACAGTACTGGTATATCCAGCTTGCTTTTTTGAGGCAAAAGGATTCCTTTAAAAAAATGAAGCCATTTAAATATTTTATGCTAAAAACAAATTATTGCCACTCTCCTGCCAGAATGTTGCTAGTCATATATATATATTTAATATCAGCTCCATGTACAAACAACACTTTGGCATGTAATAAAACAAATTTAATTGATTATAGAAGTGCCTTAGTTTGCCATATACAAAAACTAATATGTCACAAAATCCACTTAAAGATAATTTGTCATTTTTGGAGACAATTTAACAGCTTAAACAGAGAACTAGATAGACTTGGTTCTCTCATCTCCCAATATTATTAGAAATACCAACATTTGATCACAGAAATAAAAATATTACTTTTTTGGAGAATATTTCTGGTACAAATATATACTTTTGATCCAAATCAAAATAAAATGTGCCTACTGGTGGTCCTTCAGATAGAAGTTTACAGTGTTTTGCAGTCCAGAACCAAGGGGTACACATATTAATAAAGCAGTTCCTGATTGTTGTTTGTGGATATTAATCCATTACCTGACACAATACCTTTTCCAGAAAAGGCGATGGGATTGGTAAATAATAGTATGACGGTTATCACTGTTGAAGCTAGGGGCACCTACTGACATTAAGACTTCCGAAAGGGCTCTTCTGTCATTTTATCAGTCAGTGAAAAAAAAAGCATGACCAGAAATATTTTAAATGCCTCTGAGCATATGCAGCACATTTTCCCCCCAACAATGATTCTTTATTTATTAGTCAATCTTGACCATATCAAAATATGCAAAACCTACAAAGCATACACACTTGCCCATACATACAGTAAAACCATATATGCATACAAGACAGGCCTGCTGGCCTGTCGACCCACTCCTAAATGATTGTGCAACTACAAGATAAAAAGATAAAAAGATAAAAAATTGATTGATTTCTTAAAGAAGGGATTGGACGGGGCCACGGGTAGGTAAAACTAGTGGTATATCCATATTAAGTTTTTAAGTTTGAATTTTGTTGGTGGCAGCAAGGTCACCTCTCTCTGCTTCCATCTTCTCGCAGATGGCCAGCGCTTTTTGCGTTAAAAGGGTCAATTTTAAAATAGAGTTTTTATCTGAACCCTGTAGGAGGATGTGCAGTTTCTCCTTATTGTCTAAATAAGTATGATTCTCCAGCAGAGGTTCTAGATAGTAAGACCAGATCCTGTTGTAGTAGGGACATTTTAAGAAAAAATGTTCTGAGTCCTCCATTTCTGCATCTACCTCACAACACTCACAGGTTCTCCTCATGTAGGGAATATTCTGGTGTCGTCCCAACTTGGATTTAATGTTGAGCTGCTCAAATCTAGCTCGGGTAAAAAGTTTTCTAATATTTAGTGGGAGTATAAAAGAGAGATAAGGTTCCATGCCCACATTACATTTAAATTTGGCCAGGTATGGAGTGGCTCTAGCTTGTCATTAGACACTCACAGGTCATTAGATCATTTTGTGCAGCAATGTCGAGAGCAATTTGATATACAATTGAGCATACATTTGCCCCAAAATTTATTCATATGCCGCACATAATTTTTGCACAATCAAATCAATGCATCCTCTTTGTCTACCCAATCTCTATCAAGAAACATGGTCTTTAAATATAGGCGGTAGTAAGCATGCTTTGATTATAAAATTCAATGAGATCTAATTCTGGGTAGATTTTTAAAGAGAGAGAGAAGAAGAACAAGAAAAGACAAGGAAGACTTTAAAAGAAATACAGGAAGAGGGCTTCAGTACCAAATTTATCCAGAACATCAAAGTGTGCAATGCTCTGTAGAACAGGGTATGTGAAATACAGAATGGAAAGAGTAAAAGAATAGAGGGAGCAAACAAGAAGGGAGGAAGTAGGGTGTTCATTAATTTAATTAATTGGATGTTTTAGGTCTAACAGCTCAAACCTTACCACACCGATCAGAGTTTATGACCCACTGAAGCAAAGCATGAGACAAAATGCTGAATCACATGAAAGAGAAACCAAGAGTTGAAGATGAGTAATAGATGGGACTGAGGAAAATGATTTATTCTATTATCCAAGTGTCTAGCACTCTGTGACCAACAATAAATGTATTACAGGGTTATGAAAGAATTTATTGTAGCTCACCTGAAATAATATTTTTTCAATATAATCCCAAATAAAATGTTATAGAATCATAATGTACTTCCCCATAAAGATGTATATGTCAACAGTGGGGTGGGGGCTTGTGATTTTCTAAGGGCCAGGGATGATAAGGTCAAAGTAAAATAATTCCTTCCCCTATGCCATTTCATTCATGGGCAGACCATTATTTTTCTTCCTCTCTAGTCTTTTGCATTTGTCCTCATCTTTAGCTGTTTCCCATATCATCAACCATCTTTATTATGATCCAGTGGGTTAAACCCCTGTGCCAGCAGGACTGAAGACTGACAGGTCGCAGGTTCAAATCCAGGGAGAGTGAGGGTGAGCTCCCTCTATCAGCTCCAGCTCCTCATGCGGGGACATGAGAGAAGCCTCCCATAAGGATGATAAAACATCAAAACATCCGGGCGTCCCCTGGGCAACATCCTTGCAGACGGCCAATTCTCTCACACCAGAAGCAACTTGCAGTTTCTCAAGTTGCTCCTGACATCACAAAAAAAGTTACGATCCAAAGATCCAATTTGCTCTGCAGAAAAAGTGCACAACAGATTCAAAAGCTGATAATACCACTTAAAAACAGAACAAGTGCAATTTTAGATGTACATGAACAAGGGCAAAGACACTGCAAATATATACAAGGTAAGATTCAACCTGGGTCTAATACAAGAAGTTGTCTTATCCTGGCTACCTCAGAGAGAAACTTGGCAAAAGACAAAGTCACATGGGGGAAAATTGTCACCCAATAAAAACTTTACTTGGAATTGGGCAGATCTACCACATAGGCTGCTCAGTAGTACATTAATAATATGTAGCTGAGCCTTCTTGTAAAAAACTGCAGGACAAAAAGTTGTGATATATACATTCAACACAGAATCATAGAATCATAGAATCAAAGAGTTGGAAGAGACCTCATGGGCCATCCAGTCCAACCCCCTGCCAAGAAGCAGGAATATTGCATTCAAATCACCCCCGACAGATGGCCATCCAGCCTGTTTAATAAAAAGCCATGTAATAAACATCCTGATTATTACATGGGCAAACTTTTGCATTATATGGGATTCCTGAAAATTTCCCTTGAAGCACTTTGGATAGGAACACATTGCACCTTGCCTTGGAGAACAGACAGTGGCATTTGGCCACAGTCAAGTTCTTAAGATAATTTGCTTCATGAAAAGGCCCAGTATAATGTATGCTCAGGGCGCTTGGGAAACAAGAAACATATGAGCAAGAACACAGCTCAGAGAAAGTAATGTTCCACAGTCTTTGTTTAATATATTTAAGTGCCATATCATAACCCAGATGAGATAAAAGGGATGAAGAGAGGCTGATAAAAGAGGCTTTTTTAGAGTTAAGCTTGAACTAGTTGCTAGTGTTCCCATTCTGGGCTAGATGGTGAATCAGATCTAAGTCCCATCTGAAAACACTGACATTAATCCAACATTTAAGGGCCCACCATCAAGCTTTTATTAACAGGGGGATTTCCCCAGATTCTAACAGCAAGACACAGGATGGCACACATCTGGGGAACTGGAAGATGGCCTTCATGAACTTTGATTGGTGCTGGTATATCTTAGGTGTTAAGCCACCAATCCAGATGCTGGATGCATACAGCAGCTTGGTAGCTGTCTTGGCATTAAAAAATTTAATAGCCGATGGGATATATCCATCCCCTTTGGTAATGCTAAAACATAGAATGGCTGATCTGCTAACTTGTCAGCTACGTATCATTTGACCATATGACTCTTGACTTGTGTGAGTTCTCAATAACTGTTTCTCATACATTCGTCTGATTAATATCTAGAACATATACACACAAACACACACACCTATTTCCAAAGACAGATATGATACAGCAAGCAGCTTAGCCTTCCTAGCATTTCTATTCTTTCTTCCTCTTTTTAGGATTTGCTGACTTACTGGACCTTCCCAGAGGAAGAACCATTATAATCAATTTAATGAATCAATGAGTTAAAGTATAGGATTAAATCTGGTAGTACTTGGAAATCTAATAAATTAAGCCATGTACTAAATAAAGGAAAACACTGTCAGAACCAGCATCGTAAAGTGTCTTGAGTGCTGGATTAGGATTCTAGAAGACCAATATTTGAATATTTGTTCAGCCATGGAAATTTAAGGAGTTGCAAGGGTTTCTATTTTATTTTGCTGCTTCCTTTGCTTTGGGCAAAATTTAAATACAGATCACCTTGGTTTTTATCCACCAAGTCCTTTGTGACAAAATGGTATAACGAGCCCTCCCAGAATCATACAGTATACAAGCATCATCATAGGTGCATACCAGAATGTCATGGACTAAATTACCAGTACAGCTCCTGCTGCTCAACACAACTAAAGTACTGATTTTTTTAAAAAAAAATATTTGGATCATACAAGTAGGGTTTCAGATTCAAATTAGTCCAGATGTTCAAGCATACCAGTGCCACCATTCCATTTCCCCTGTGTTTAATGACACACAGGAAAGGGGAAGGCACCCACTTTTGCTGTTATTTGTTGCCACAGCAGCAACAGAATTTTGGAGAGCTCCAAGTGATTACTGGGCTCTTTGACGAAAAGCAGGGGGTTGTAAATCTTGCAATATATTTATTGTACTCAGAAAGTGCTAGGCACTTGGATAATCATAAATGTTCCCAGTTCTCCAAACCTATTTTAATATTCTGCAATGAGCAACCGAAGATCTGTTTTGCTGGTGGCTTGATCACAAAGGATGACATGTCCGCCCCTTCTCTCCAGGGAGCTGCAGTGTGACAAGAAGTTGCAACAGGAGTCCTCTTCAAATTGTTACACTGCAGACACCAGCCTGCAGCCAAACTCCAACAGAACATACTTCAATTGCTTGGTGTAGCTGCTAGCTGTTAAGACACTTCGAAG